ACTGAGCGCTTTCTGCACCCTGGGCCCCGTGCCGGGCTGGGAACGCTGTGAGGGGAAGACCCAGCCCGGCTCCACAGAGGGGATGGGGCCAACCATGCCTCATCCTGCTTGTCATTTGCTCACCCGCTCTGTGCACGCCCAGGGATTGCTGGGTGAAGGGATACTGCACATTTTTCTTAATCTCAGGTGTGGCGTGTGGGGGCAGGGGTGGGCCTGCTCTGTAGTGCTGGGGGCTGGAAATGAGCAAGGTGATGTCATCAGCCGTCACAAGGGGGCCTTGGAGGTAAGCAAGAAACACCATAATCAAGCTATGACACCAACGGCAAAAAGCTGGTGCAGTTCCTCGATTTCCTCGCTAGATCCCTGGTTTGGTCACGCACATGTAGGCCAACACGCGTACACACGCACGTGCACATGCCCCTCCCTCCTCCAGCCCCCAGAGCAGCGGCATGGGCTGTATCTGGCCCTGGGCGGCAGGAGGGTGCGCGGCCCGGCCCCGTCTGTGCTCGGCCGGGTGGGTCCCGGTGGTTCCTGGGAAAAGGCCACGCAGTCTGCAGCAATGAGCACAAAAGGCTAATTTTAACCAAGAGCAGCAGAGTGACCTTGGCACAGAAGGGAGATGCCCCTAGACGGTGCCCTAGCCCTTCCAGGGGACATCAGGCCAAGAGCAGAGAGCTCCCCGTGCCCTCCCACCTTCCCTCCCTGCAGTCCCTCCACCTCATCAGTCCTTAGTAAGCCGCCTTCAGCCTCTGCTGCCCACAGGGGCTGGTGGCTCAGGGGCCAAATTTGGAAAGGAGGGGGTGGGCCGGGGTGGGGAGGAGCGCAGGGGTCTGGCAAGTCACGCCTGCGAGTAACCCAGGGAAGGTGCTGTCTGGCCTGGGCTCAGCTCCCAAGCATGTTTGCAGGAAGGGAGCATGCATGTATTGACACCCTACTGTATGCACCATATTATGTCTGAAGCTTTAGGTACGTCGTCTCAGTTCGCCCTGGCTTCCCTTTGAGACAGACATGCTGTGCCTGCTTCAAAGAGGATGAAACGGAGGCTCAGAGAGTTAAACCATTTGCGGGGATCCCACAGCCAGTAGGGGCAGAGCCAAGAGGTGACATGAGCCCGACCCGACTCCTCCAAATCCGGTGCTTCTTCCACAGTTCCACCCGCAACTCGCAAGAGCACTGGGCTGGAAAGGAAAACTCTGGCGGGGGCAGGGGAGGCTCTGCAGAGGCTTGGGACAAGCTCAGGCCGCCCTGGGTGTGTCCCAGCTGCATGGGCAGGGCAGATGACCTCAAACCCGGGAGCTCAGTTTTCTCATCTACAAGATGGGACCAGTCGCCTCACCCGCTCCTCAGGGCGCCCTGCAGGCTGAGCGAGACGGTCCACGCAGGAGGCACAGCGCAGGCCGCACGCAGCCCTGCAGGCTGAGCGAGACGGTCCACGCAGGAGGCACAGCGCAGGCCGCACGCAGCCCTGCAGGCTGAGCGAGACGGTGCACGCAGGAGGCAGGAGGCACAACGCGCCCGCACGCAGCCCTGCTGGCGCTGCGCCGTGGCCAGCGTCCGTGCTCGTGCGCACGGTGGCGCCCTGCTTGCACGAGTGAGGACGACGCATGCGGGGCTCCTTAGGGCGGGGTCTTGTCTCACTTGTGGATGTTTCTCTTCGGGGTCACACCAAGGCCTGAGAGGTCACGGAGTCCCCAGCTGGACATTTTCCCTATGCACCCACCGATCCTAACACTTCCCCGCTGTGTCCGGGACACTCCCGGGGGCTGTGTCAGGTCCCCGCTGGGGGCAGGTGGAGCTGTCACTCTGAGAGCCAGCAGCAGAGCTCCCGCGCGGGCAGGAGGCCGGCCACGCCAGCCCTGCAGATGCCCTGCAGGGACTCGAGCCCCAGGCTCCGGTCAGCCCGGCGGCCACACCAGCACCAGATGTTTGTCTTCCTCCCTCGATTCTGCAGACGTCCGTGCACCTTCCTGCCATCCTCTGGGCGCATTTGCTTAGCCATGCTAAAAGGATCGCCCCTCCAGGGCCACGGCAGACCGCGCTCAGGCTGCCCACGAGCACATTGAGCCTCAGTGCCCTTAGGGTCCCTCAAGGGGTGCTGACAGAGCCACGCCTGGGGCTCGGGTTTGGCCCACCACTTTCTAAGGACACGCTGGTGAGTGACAGGCTCCATGTCCCTGCTTCCCGCCAAAATGAGGGCGCCGCACATCCGAGAGGCTGCTGTGAGGACACCCCGAGCCGCACACCAAGGCAAGGCACAGAAGCCCTCTGTAAACTGTGGAGTGCTGTGCCCACGCGCTTAGGAGCAACTGCTTTAAAGATGCTACACTCTGTTCCGTTCCACAAAGAGCTATTCCAGCATGCTTAAGGAATGGAATTTTCCAGTGAACCAACTGCTCTGAGATGGAGAGCTATCAAATATAAAGATTACTATTTCCCAGAAAAACCTGGGGTGAACTATTACCTGTGCACCAGGAAGCCAAACGGAGCACAGACTGCGGATCTTTGGGCAAATCCCTTATCCAGGCCTCAGTTTCCACTTTGTGAGAAGGGGACAGTGGTGAGAGAGTTGTGCTAGATGACTGATTTTCAAAAAAAGTTTTAAAGCCAGACTCTGTTCAAATAACCCTTACAAGGCAACCAAATACATACAACAGAGGAGGAGGAATGGCTGAGTCTGAAGGGGGGCACACCTGGACGCCCACCTCCTCATTCCCCTGCCCCATCCGGCTGTGAGCCTCCCGCTCCTGAGACCCAGGGGGAGCACAGTTTGAGACGTCCAGGAAGAACGGCCTAGAGTGGTGGGTCCTGCTCTGCCATTTGCCAGCTGTGTGGCCTTGGGCCAGTTACTTGCCCTCTCTGGGTCCCAGTTTCCTCATCTATAAAGGTGAGGACCATAAGACCCACCTCTTGGGGTTGTCTAAAGTCCCCCTAGGCAGGAGGACAGCAATCACGTGGCCCAGATGCTGCGGGCACGGGCCCCCTGCCGTGTCCTCACGCGTGTGAATGTGCAGGTGAGAGACTGTGACTTCGCCAGGGAGAGCAGCCTTCTCTCCCGCCAGGAGGGCAAACGCCCGGGGCAGGAGATGATGCCCATTCACTCACTCATTCTCTCTCTCCTTTCGTCCTCCCTCCCCTCTCTTCACACGCTCACATGTTTCACCGTCTGGCTGGGAACTGGAAGGCTCCTCGCCCTTTACAAATTTTTTACGCGCTTTAACAAAAGCACACCAGAAACCTGTTCTGTTCTGGGCATCGGCGGGGCAAGTGCGCCCCCTGGTGGAGAAAACTCTCATTCATCCTTCGAGATTTGGTCCCTGCCTCACCTTCCCCAGGCGAAGGCACCTGCCTCGCCTGAGAACATGCCTCTGAGGATGTGCTGCTCTCCTGGGTTCTTTTCTGATTCTCCCAGGCTGTCACTGGGCCTGCAGGTCTGGGACCTGACACAGGCGGGCCCTCCAGGTGACTGGAGCCAGCCTTCCAAACCTCACGCAGCCTAGCCCGGTGGTGGTTCTCAATCGCGGCTTCCCAGGCCCCACCTGGAATCCTGACACTGCTGATTCCAACGTGCAGCAGCGGGGCTGAGGACCGCTGCGCCTGGCCAGGGAACAGGGGACACCTGCTCCCCACAGTGGCTCAGGGGGCCTGCGAAAGACACGGCACCCCCACCCAGCCTTAGACTGCGCATCCGCACCTCTGGAGGAGAGGCTGGGGACGCTGTGTGTCAAACAAAGCCTGGAGGTGGTGTCTGAGAAGCACTGGGCGACCCTTTGCATCTTTAAGGGAAGGCAGTGGGGTCCAGGGAGGTGACAAGCCAGCTCCAGACCTTGTGATTCCTGCACAGCCTAGACGGCAGGGCCCAAGTTGTGAGAAGACACTTCACAGGCGCCTCGGGGTCTGGGAGGTGGTGCCTGGCCCAATGTCCCTGCTCAGAGGGGACAAGGGACTTGGTTCTTATGCTATGCTATCAGCTCCCTCCTTGGCCTGTACCCACAGGAGCCAGGTCCTCCCTCGGCCCCCGGCAGGCGAGCCCCAGGGCCCGGGGTGGTCTCTGCCACGCGCCACACACACAGAAGCAGTGACTGTGTGCTGTCCTGCATGCACGCCCGCTCAGCTCCCGCCAGCCTCCGCCAGGCACAGGCTCTGGGCCAGGCAGGTCCGTCCTCCAGGGACCCGGGACCTGGTCTGACCAGGGAGGGGCTGAGCTGTGCCGTGTCCTGACAGACTCAGCAACCACTCCTCCCAAACAGCCCTCTGGCCCTGGGGGAGGTCGGGGACCCCACACTTTCTGGAGCACCCCAGCCCCAACGGCAGGGTTCCCCGTCTCCCGGTTCCTCTGCCGCCGGCATCCTGGACTGGCTGGGGGAGACCTGTCCACCTGGGCTCCTGGGCGAGGCCCCAGGCCCACCTTGGCCTCCCCCTGCAGGCCACGTGCCACGGCCAGCAGAGAGCTGTGAGTGCCAAGAACGGGGTTCAAATCCCAGGCCCAGCACCGACCACCTAGGAGATAAGCCCAGGGTCTTGGACCCAGGCTTCTTCGTCTGTAGGGTCCTCGTAGCTATGACAACAGCAGTGACATGGCCGCCGCGCCCACCTCCCTGGCAGGGCTGCTGGAGAGTCGGTGCTAAGCTAGTGCTGTGCAGATTGCTCTCTCCACGGCCGGTGGCTGTCCAGCCCTGAGGGGTTCTCCCAGCTGCACCCCCAGAGGCCTGCAGCTCTGCTCCCACCCCACCCCCATCCTGCCAGTGATGGCCAGGGTGTGTGCGAGCTCTCTGTGCCTCAGTTTCCTCCTCTGGACAAGGGGTGATAATAGTTCTAGCTCGTGGGGTTATCACAGGGTCAGAGGAGTCAAGGGGTTCACGGGAGAGGAAGCTGGGTGCACAGGGGGGCCTGGGAGTTTTAGGGCGGTGGAACCATCGTGTGTGACGCTGTGATGGTGGGTCCGTGTCATTGCACTTTTGCCAAAACCCACAGAATGTAGGACACAAACAACAAACCCTAATATAAACAATGGACTTTAGTGAACAGCAGTGTGTCAATCTCGGCGCATCAACTGTAAGGAAAGGACCACACCATTGCAACACTGTTACTTTCTGCTGTTTCTTCTGTAAACAGAAACTGCTCAAAACATTCAGTCCATTATAAACAAAATAAAAAGATAACTAGTGGGGAGCCCCCAGTGTTTCTTGGTGTCTCCACCCCTTGGTCCCTTGCCCCGTCCTGGTCCTCCCAAACACCCCTCAGCCCACCAGGACGCCCAGCAGCTGCGGATCTGCGAGGCGAGGGCGCCCCCTGCTGGCCAGGAGAGGCAGTGACCGCGGGGCCCCTGCGCCGCGTGTGAGATGTCCAGGCTGGTCACTGGGAATGACGTGGAAAAGGCCAGACTCTCCTGACTTTATTATGGAACAGTCCCCAGTGCCGGGTGCAGCCCGCGGCACGGCTCCCCTGGAACGGGCGTCGGGGACAGCGGTCCCCAGCCTTGTTGGCACCAGGGACCAGTTTCGTGGGAGACAATTTTTCCACGCGAGGGAGGAGTGGGGGGTAGGCGGTGATGCCGGCGACGGAGCGGCTGTAAGTACGGGTGAAGCTTCTCGCCCGCCGCTCACTTCCTGCTGTGCGTCCAGCCCCCCTTTCCTAAGTTTCATGGAAGATAAGTTTTCTGTGGCCTGGACATTGGGCACCGCAGGTCTACGGGATCGCGTCCCGCTAATGCAGCTGACAGGGTGGGCACAGGGCTGGGGTCCCCCGCAGGTCGGAGCAGCAGGGCTCGAGGTCACCTGTGGCCCACCTGCTGGCATGGCACCAGCATGGAGCCTGATGGCAGTCACTTAACAGTGTGCCAGGCACTGTTCCAGACACCTCACCGGGCCTAACGCCGTCCTCAGGACAGGACATACAGCGTGGGTACCTGTGTGGGCCTTCCCCGTTGTACACACGAGGAAGTGGAGGCACAGAGAGGCTAGGCACTTGTCCGAGGGCACACAGCCCGGGAAGGCTGGGCAGACCGGGCTCCTGCCGGGACTCGCCTGCAAAGCTGCCTCTGCCTCTGGTTTCCTCGGCTGAGAAATGGGCGCCCCTGTCTCTGCCTGTCCTCCAGGCTCTCCGGAGGCGACCCGGGCCAGCGGGCGGGGCTAGGGCTGCAGCTCGTACTGCTGCTCCGTGGCCGTGTAGAAGTCCTCGAGCACCGACCGCAGGAACTCGAAGGTGGGCCGCTCCTCCGGCCGGCTGCGCCAGCACTCGGCGATGACGCCGCGGTACAGCTCCGGCGGGCACGTGTCGGGGCACGGCATGCGGTAGCCGCGCTCCAGGCAGCGGATGACCTCGGGGTTGCTCATTCCTGTGGGCAGAGGGGACAGAGAGCTCGAGCGGGGGCTGGGAGGGTGGGCACTGCCATCTGAGTCCCAGAGTGCCTGCAGGCACAGGCCCTTGCCGGCTCCAGCGTCACCAGCTAGCGCCGCTTTTAACCCTCGGTGCAGCGCTCGCGGCTGCGACCCCTCGCCCACGGCGGCACCCACAGTCCCACCTCGCCCACGGTGGCGCCCACAGTCCCACGGCAGTCTGTGCTGTGCGTCGACGACGAGTCCGTTTTGCTCTTGTGTGATGAGGAAAGCTTGAAAGCCCGGAAAGCTTGTTTGACTTTACAGGCAGCTTTGCTTGTCATGTCAATCAGAATAGGTAACATAGACATGTATGTTTTCATTACGTTACTTATTTATTTTTGAGACAGAGTCTCGCTTTGTTGCCTGGGCTAGAGTGAGTGCTGTGGCATCACCCTCGCTCACAGCAACCTCACACTCCTGGGCTAAACGATCCTCCTGCCTCAGCCTCCCGAGTAGCTGGGACTACAGGCATGCGCCACCATGCCCGGCTAATTTATTCTATATATATTAGTTGGCCAATTAATTTCTTTGTATTTATAGTACAGACGGGGTGTCGCTCTTGCTCAGGCTGGTTTTGAACTCCTGATCTTGAGCAATCCGCCCGCCTCGGCCTCCCAGAGTGCTAGGATTACAGGCGTGAGCCACTGCGCCCGGCCACATTACGTTATTTTTAAATGTTCACAATTTTATTTTGATAAATGAAAAATTAGAAAAGTCAATTCAAAATTATAGACTAAAGTCGACACTCAGCTGTGCGCCCTCATGCCACGGCTGTCGGCTACAGTCGATGCTGGGCTGTGCGCGTCCATCTGTGGCTATCGACTATAGTCGACACTCGTACCGAAGTGGTTAAACATCCCTTTATTTATATTTTATTGCTTGGGGAATAGCTGGACGTGAGGCTGTAGATTGTTCTCCTGAATGTGGGCTCTTCCTCACGGATGGGGCCCTGTCTTGTCACCTGTGACTGCCCAGAACACAGCCGGAGCCTGCTTACGGGGCAGGTACGCCCCGAACCTCCCCCAGGGCCGCCCAGCCCCTCCAACTGGGGGGTGTGGGGGTGTCTGGGGCCTGCAGTCCACCCACTGCTCTGCCTGCTCAAATGGGACTTTTAGTGGAGTAAGCTTGGTTCTGGTTTGGGGGGCCCACGTGACCCCTGAACTGAACTTCAGAAGCTCTGGTCCAGCTCAGAGAAGACAGTTCACATAAATGGCTGCCTCTATTTCTGCCTGAGGAAAGACAGCTTGAGACATAGGCACCACCTCTCTCCCAATTAGCATTCCGAGCGCCCCCTGGTACCGTTGCCCCTGCCTCTGCTGCTGGGGGCGGGGGACACGCCCCGAGGCCCAGCGCGGGGGCACGAAGGGGCAGAACCCGCCTCGTGAACAGCATGCCCGGGCCTCTGCCCCTGCTGCAGGGACTCCACGCCCACACGCATGTGCAGCCACAGGCGCCAAGGACGGGCCTGCTGTCAGGGCAGCCCCGGGAGGGCAGGGCGCGGCGCGAGCGGCAGGCACGGCCCTACCTGGGTACGGCACCCGCCCATAGGTGACGATCTCCATCAGGAGGACCCCGAACGACCACACGTCTGCTTTGATGGTGAACACCCCGAAGTGGATGGCCTCCGGGGCGGTCCACTTGATGGGGAACTTGGCCCCTGCGGGAAAAGCCACGTGCAGTTATGAGAGGTTGTCCCTCCACCCCTGCCCTCCTGCCTGTGCCACCTCTGGTCCCCACGGCTGGGCCTCACGGGTTTGGCCACTGGACACCACAGAGATTCGGGCTGGGAAGTCAACAGGACACACCAGGACCTGTGACCAGGTAAGAGCAGACCCGGGAGCTGCAGCACAAAAGCACGATGTGGCCCCCAAGACCACTTGCTGTCACCCCCAGTAGGTCTTTAAGAGGAGGGTAAGTGTGGCCAGGGGTGGTGGCTCACGCCTGTAATACTAGCACTCTGGGAGGCCAAGGCGGGAGGATCGCTCAAAGTCAGGAGTTCAAAACCAGCCTGAGAAAGAGCGAGACCCCGTCTCTACTATAAAATAGAAATAAATCAACTAAAAATATATATAGAAAAATATATATAGAAAAATATATATAGAAAAATATATATATGGCCAACTAAAAATATATATAGAAAAAATTAGCCAGGCATGGTGGCGTATGCCTATAATTCTAGCTACTCGGGAGGCTGAAGCAGAAAATCGCTTGAGCCCAGGAGTTTGAGGTTGCTGTGAGCTAGGCTGACGCCACGGCACTCTAGCCCAGGCGACAGAGTGAGACTCTGTCTAAAAAAGAAGAAGAAGAAGAGAGTAAGTGGCCTCACTGCGCAGCCAGCACACGTGTCTCCGTCTGCACTGGCGGAGTGCTCTTCTGCCACACACGGGCCTTGTTTAATAGCAGGGACTATCAGTTTAGCTTGTCCTGCACGGTGGGGACGGTGACACAGACCCCTAGAGTCCCTGTGAGGAAGGACTCGCACCCTGATGCCCCACGAAGCCGTGGACCTGGCCGGCATTCCCAGTGGCGCACGGGCCCGAGGCACTCCCTCCCCGCGCATGGCTCTCTCCGCGGCCAGCCCGCCCGAGCTTCCCCAGGGAACCAGCTGCATCTGCCTTCTGCACGACTGATTCAGATGCCCGGCGAATTTTGCTTGCTCACAGGCAGATGTATGCGACCCCTCAGATCCTCTTGTGAAGTCGATTTGTACCTCGGTTACATTAGCAGAGTAAAACTGAGGGCCCCGTGGAAGCCCTGATCCAGGAGTAAAGTTTGCTGCTCACACATTGAAGCTGTGCTTCCCAGCGTGCTCTGTGAAAGCCCAGCTCTGCAGGAGAGGAATAGGGCCCAGTGGAAGTAGTATTGGGGGGCTGAAACTAGTTCGGGAGACACCAGGTGAGGCAAATGTGAATTGTTTCTTGGCTGCAGGACTTCTCAGTGCCTTGAATATGTTGGCGTGCACTGGGAATCTCCAAGGCAGGAAGGGAGAGGAACTGCAGCTTCTCCGAACCTACCTTACCCTAAAGCCATTCCTCAGTGGAGGCCTGGCGGCATCGCTGCTCTGCTGAACGCAACTGGGGAAATGCAGTCTAGAACTGTGGAGACCACAGAGCTCTCAGGGCTCTGCGCAGGGGCCGGGCCGTGTGGTGTCAAGGAGAGTCCCGGGGGCTGTGGGCAGTTAGGGGTGGTAAGGCCCGAGGTCTCCCTGTGGTTGCGGGGCTCCGCTCACCCTCCTGGGCAGTGTATTCACTCTCGACGATCCTGGCCAAGCCGAAGTCAGCGATTTTGCAGCACAAGGTCTCGGACACCAGGATGTTGGCCGCCCGCAGGTCTCGGTGGATAGAATTCATGTGCTCGATGTACGCCATCCCTTCGGCGACCTGTGCGGACAGGCCACGGGTGAAGGACGGTGTGGCGGCCTCCTCGCCGGGGTCGAGCCCGCCCCATGCCCCTGGGCGGCCCCTGAGGGAAGCGCCCACCGGCCTCTGCAGAAGCAGCCGCGCCCCTGGCAAGGCGCCAGGGGAAGGACGGCGGGGGTGGGGCTGTCCTGGCTGCTTTGGTGGGTGCCGGGGGTTCTGCTGCTGGGGAAGGAGCTCGTTTTAGAGGGGAGTAGAAAGGCAGGGGGGACTCAGCTGCTCCTCAAATGGACAAACCCCCGGCCCCCCAGAATCCCAGAACAGCAGAGACCTTGTCGTCAGAGATACCCTGTTTCCCCGAAAATAAGCCCTACTCATAAAACAAGCCCTAGCAGGATTTCTAAGCATGTGTGCAATAGAAGCCCCACCCCGAAAATAAGCCCTAGTGACGGACGTGGCTACGCAGCGCGTCTGCACAACCCATGCATTTCGTTGCGCAGCGGTGAAGAAGAAGAGTGGCCCTTCTCATCTGCCCCATCGTGACAACGACTATCCCAGAGGTGACCGGAAAGGTGCGGGCAGCCCCACCCACAAGGTCGGCTCCCCATGTCAGGTCCCAGCCATCCTGTGCATGCTGCAAGCTGAGGCTTTGAGGGGAAAATAACATCCCCTGAAAATAAACCCTAGGGTGTCTTCTTGAGGAAAAATAGATATAAGACCCTGTCTTATGTTCGGGGAAACACAGTATAAGGGCCACCTGCACCCCTCCTGTCCTTGCCTCTCCTCCCAGGCAGCTGTCTCCCAGTGCACGGAAGGAAGATTGCAGGGCAGAGGTAGGAAAGGAGGGAGGAAAACAAGGGAAGGGCAGGAAGGAGTGAGGAAGACAGGAGGGAAGAGACTGGGTGTCCTCCCCTGCAGGCTGGGGGCACTGCTCTTGGAGCCGGAGCCCTCTATGGGGACAGGTGACCCCCGGCTACCTCCCTGAGGGGTCCTAGTCCTGACCCAGGACAGGAGGGGAGTGGTCTCCAGGGCACAGGGTTGAGGCCCTCATGGAATGAGGTGGCCACGGCTGAGCGCCCAACCCAGCAGCTGGCCGCTGTGGGCACTGCAGGGGCGGGGGCAAGAGCAGGACCCATATGGACAGGCAGCTGAGGCAGAGGGACCCTGGTCTCTGTTCCCTGATCACCAGTGCTGGGCCAGTGGTAGCAGTTTGCGGCTGCTCCGGTGCCTTTTAGCTGAGGAAACTAAGGATATTTATTCACCCAATTGATGGATGGAGAAACTGAGGCAGAGAACACAGAGCCGATTCACCCCCTCGGATCAGCTACCCCACGGAGCCAGCACCAGAACTGATCCCGGTTCTCCTCATGCTTCCGTTTGCATTGGTTCATGCACGAGTCCCTTCGCCCATTCATTCATTCACTGACTGCCTCGCTAAGTCACTCGGTCAAAGCACAGTTGTCAGCATGGGGCTGTGGGAACACAAAACTGAACCCTAAACACGTCTGAGCGGCCCTTGACAGCACTCATTCCACTAGCTAATTTTTATCGAGCAGTACCAAAACTGACAAAAATCCCCAAAGACGAGTAGGGCCCAATGTGCTTTCAAAAAGCCACAACACACAAGGCTGCCGAGAACACGTGAGCTAAGGGCTCTCTAGCAGCTCCTGTCTGGGGAAGCCTTAGTAGAGATGACATTTGACTCAGGCCATGAACGGGGAGTGGGATTCCACCCGGTGAGAAGAGGGCGCTGTGGGCAGAGGCGAGGCAGGGCGGGCGGGCACAGGGAGCAGCGCCATTGGCTACAAACACGGGCGCCTGGGCCTCGAGGGCAGGCCGGCGCTGGCCTCGGAGGAGGGGTCCCGGGGGCTTTGCGTTTCATCCTCGGAGCAGGAAAGGAAGAGCGCAGGAGGGCGCCGAGCTTGCGCCATGAGGGTGTGTGTTCGTGCCCACGCGGGGTGAGGGTTAGCACGGTCAGAACAGAGTTTATTTTCATTTATTTATTTAGAGACAGGGTCTCACTCTGTTGCCTGGGCTAGAGTGAGTGCTGTGGCGTCAGCCTCGCTCACAGCAACCTCACACTCCTGGGCTAAACGATTCTCCTGCCTCAGCCTCCCGAGTAGCTGGGACTACAGGCATGCGCCACCATGCCCGACTAATTTTTTCTATATTTTTAGTTGGCCACTTAATTTCTTTCTATTTTTAGTAGAGATGGGGTTTCGAACTCTGGGCCTTGAGCGATTTTCCCGTCTTGGCCTCCCAGAGTACTAGGGTTACAGGCCTGAGCCACGGCGCCCGGTGAGAACAGTTTAGAAGCTGTTCTGAGAGGTCCTGATTTTCCGATTTCCTGACCCCGTATGCATGACTGACCACATCTAGGTATTGAACTCAGATGGCCTTTCTCGTCCTTTACCACTGGGTGACCCAAGGTTTCCCAAGGGCTTGCAGTGGGGACCAAGCAAGAGACAGGAGAGGGCGAGAGAAGGGGTAACGGGCTTATTGCTGTCCTGTGGTCTGAACCCGGCGACCAGCACTCGTTTTCCAGAACCATCGTGCCGGCCCACTCAGACTGACGTCTGCTCACCTCAGCGGAAAACGGGCACCGTGACGCCAGTCCCTGCACGACAGCAACAGCGGACGAGGTGGGCGAGGTGGGGCGGGCTGTGCGGGTTGGTGGGAGGGAAGGTTTCCTCTCTGAAGCTGGGGGTTGTCTGCACCTCGCGGGTGACCACAGACCAGAGCTTTTCTGCTGAGACTTCCAGTTTTAACGACACACACATGGGGCCACCAGATGTGTTTCCTGCCAGTCAGAGCCCTCGGCTAAATCTCAGGGAGGGAACATCCTCCACCTCGTGTCATCTGGAAAGTTCTGCATGTGAACCCGAGGGACACTGAGGACCAGTCCAGGGCAGCAGAGGTCGGGCCCTTGAGACTCGCCGATGGCAGCAGTAGAGGGTCCGCTAGGCTCAGGGAAGTGACGCCCCTAGCACTTGGATGAGACTCATGCCTGCCCATCAGCCTGGGGACAATCCCGGGGCTGTGGGAGGACTTAGGGCTCCTGGAACAGGGGCGACATTTTCAGAGTCACCTCCTACAGGAGGCGATTGTGGGCGCCGTCTGAAGTAGAGGTGAACACACCTGCCTGTGCCGTGTCATAATAAACACAACTCTCGCCTCTCGCCAACTCTGGGGACTCCCACCACCGCTCTCTTCCTCTGCAAGGGGCAGCCTCGTCCAGCATGCCGCCCGGGATGCCCCCCCCCCCCCGCTTCCCTGTGGCTGCAGGAGCAAGCGCGGCAGGTGACGTGAGGGACTTGGGCCCAGAGGGAGGAAGGTGGGCCCTCGTGTCCCCCTGGCTGAGAAGAGGACGGGATGGTCGCGTGTGAGCAGCACCTGAGCCGACAGGACGACACACTCGGACACTGGGAGAAACCGGCGGGGCAAAGCCACCGCCTGCTGGCTGCCCACATCCACTCGCACATCCGGAAGATTATAGCTTTGGGTTTTCTGTCCTTCGCAGTCCATCCTAGGTCTGACCGTTATGCCCTCTAAGCAGCTGGCCGTTTTACGAGGCGCAGGGGAGAGGAGTGTGGCAGTTCACCCACCTGGGCTGACATGTCGATCAGTCTCGGGAGGGACAGTCTGCCACCTTCGTCTGTCTTCAGGAAGTCCAGCAGGCACCCTAGGATGAAAAAGCCGCAAACTGCACTTCTGCAAAGCGACCCCCTGTGGTGCCAGCCCTTCCGGGTGCCGGCTGCCCCCACCCGGGAGCAGGAAGTGGGCTGTGGCTCTTGGGCCCCTCGGGGCACCAGGAAGGAAGCACCACAGCTGCTGAGCGCCTGGCATGTCACAGAAGCTCCCATCTCAGGGCCCGCAGGGCCGCTGCTGCAGCGGACGGCTGGCGTGCCACCGGCCGCCCAGACGAGGCTAGGGCTCCGCAGGTTGGGGGCTGTCTGAGGTCGCACAGCTGGCGGCTGGGAGCAGAGCCCCCGTTCTGACTCAAAGTCAATGCCCTGCCAGGAGCGGTGGCTCACGCCCGTAATCCTAGCACTCTGGGAGGCCGAGGCGGGCGGATCGCTCCAGGTCAGGAGTTCAAAACCAGCCTGAGCAAGAGCGAGACCCCGTCTCTACCATAAACAGAAAGAAATTAATTGGCCAACTAAAAATATATAGAAAAAATTAGCCGGGCATGGTGGCATATGCCTGTAGTCCCAGCTACTTGGGAGGCTGAGGTTCTGCTGAGACTTCCAGTTTTAACGACACACACATGGGGCCACCAGATGTGTTTCCTGCCAGTCAGAGCCCTCGGCTAAATCTCAGGGAGGGAACATCCTCCACCTCGTGTCATCTGGAAAGTTCTGCATGTGAACCCGAGGGACACTGAGGACCAGTCCAGGGCAGCAGAGGTCGGGCCCTTGAGACTCGCCGATGGCAGCAGTAGAGGAGTGTCAGTAAGAAAACATCAAATTGTCCCTGGGGCTTGATGCGGAGGACAAGTGCATATGGCACATGGGAGCAAACGGCCCGAGGGACGCTCACCCGAGGTGTACAGGGGAGCCACTGTGCCCTCAGCACAGGACTGTGGCCCCCTTGGTGACAGTCACTAAAGAGCCATATTTGAGACCCTACAGGAGCAGTGGGAGGCAGTCAGTGGGGTGAGAAGGAGGTCAAGGCCCACCCCAGCCCCTGTCCCGTAAGAACCAGGCCATGCTGTGGGCCTCAGAGGCTGTCTAGCCTGCCCTCTGCGCCCCCCTGTTGTAAAATATTTGCACAATTGTAACAGGTCCATGGCTAGGAGGTGGCAGGACTGGAATTAGAGCCTGTCTCTGTATGTCCAGCCACCTGCTCTTTGACGTTGCAAAGCTCTGTCCCTTCCAGCGGGCCTCCGACAGGGCTGGGCGTAGAAGATGCCTCCAGACATGCTGGCCGAACTGCCCGGTGCCGAGAGCACGGCTCTGTCACGCCCACTCAGCTCTCCTGTTTCTCATTCCCACCCTCCTGCCCCCTGGCTGTGCCTAGATCTGCTGCAGGACACTGCCCAGCTGACCCCTGCCGTGACCCCTGGCCTGGCAAACCCACTGCCCCATCAGTCCCAGGCTCCCCCTCTAAGCTTGGACACCCCCTGCCCCCGCCACACCCTGAGGACGCAGCCCTGCGGGGCACCACCTCTGGCCATGTACTCGGTGACAATGTAGATGGGCTCCTTGGTGACCACGGCGTAGAGCCGGACCAGCCTCTCGTGCTGCAGAGTCTTCATCAGGTTGGCCTCGCCCAGGAAGGCTTCCGGAGACATCGTCCCCTCCTTCAAGGTCTTGATGGCCACCTTCACGTTGTTTCTGTAATAGCCTGAGCCAGGGGACGTGGGGGGGGCACTCAGAAGACGGAGAGGCTGCTGGGAAGCGAACCCTTCACCCAGACTGACACCAGCTCCCTGGTGCCGCCCTGTTCTAGGTGGGAACCAAGGCCCAAGCTGGCTGTGGCCGGCGGGTGACCGCTGGGTGGGGCTCACCCTGCGAGAGGGTGCCGAGCCCGTCGTAGCCCCCGGCTATACCCTGCTGGAGAGGGCGATCTCACCTCTCTGCCCCAGCCCCGGGGGCTGGGTGGCCCCCTTTTGCCCTGCATGTAGTCTGCCACCTGCCCCAAGCCCACCCCGGCATAGGGGCCTCTCCTGTCACACGACAGCGCCGGGCACAGCCAGAGGGACAGGGCAGGGGCGGTGCGGCCTCCTTCCCTCCTCCCTGTGCCCTCTCCTTAGCCCACCGCGTCTCCACTCTCCCTGCACTCCATTAGGCCCCCCGTCCACACGGAAGGGCAAGAGACAGTAACTACATGTGCCCTTCTCGGGGACGGTCCATTGGGACCGGGCTGCAGCTCCTGCCCAAGGCACCGCTGGCTTCAGGCCTGGGTGGGGAGGTCTCAGGGCGGGCTCAGGATCCGACCCTGAAATCATGACCCCGAGGGCGGGCTCAGGATCCGACCCTGAAATCATGACCCCGTGACATTCCAGGGACAAAACAAAGTCCCGTGTTTTATATTCTGGGAGTGCCCATGGCAAGCAGGGCCACAGTCCTCAGCTGCAAATGAAAGGTGAGGACACTGGGTCCTAGAACTTCAGTGACACAGCCGAGAGTGGTGGCCTCAGCCCACAGTCAGACTGTGGGGCTCCTGGTTCCTGGCTCCCCAGGTCTGACCTGCGGCTCTGTCTGCGTGAGCCACAGCCACGAGCCAGACGCTCCGGCTCACACACACGCAGCGGCAAGCCAGCCCCGGGCCCAGGAGAAGGAAGGAGGGAAGCAGCTTAGGGCTGGGAGAGCTGGATTCTGCTCCTGCTCGACCCCGGGACAACCACAGCAGCTGTGCTGTGCCTCCACGACCTCATCTGTAAAATGGGTAGGCACAGACTAGCCCCCGCCCTTCCTCCCTCACAAGCCGTGGCAGGGAAGGATGACACCCTGTTCAGATGCTCGGCCTTCCATCTTCTGCAGCCGCCTCTGGGCTTCAGGACGCCGGGTGGGGACAGGGCTCCGGGCACACACACTCACCCATCCAGACTTCGCCAAACTGCCCAGATCCAAGTTTCCTGACGAGCTTGAGAGACTGCCGGGGGATCTCCCACTCGTCCTGGGCCCAGGGGTTCTGCGGAGCCAGGTTCACGCAGGGCAGCGTCAGCCTCTGGCACAAACCGTCCCCTTTCTCTGCATTCGGGAGGGAAGGGTGGGGCTGGAGCTTCCCAGAGTGGCCAGGCTCTCGCTGGGGAGCCACAGTGTCCCTAGCTGTGTCCCCTCATTCCCCACCCAGCACGTGCGCACACACACACACACACACACACACACACACACACACACGGACACATTCAGCTCTTTGCATCTGTAGCCGTCCCTGACCTGCTCCAAGACTGGAGACACTGGCTCCTGTCCAGGTGGCCCTGTGCCCAGTCAGGACAGTGGACTGGGGCCACCAACTTTAATCATTATCCTGAGAGTGGCCAGTTGCTTAGGCCCAGCTTCGGGATAACCCCCCTCCTGCCCCACTGGTGGCACCAGTCACTCACACAGTTTGGGGTCTCAGCCACAGAGGCACAAGCGCTCCTCTGGCTCCACCACCCGCCCCGCCCCAGATGCCCCTCGTACTGGAGTAGTGCTGCACCAGGGCCTGCAGCGAGGGGAAGGTGATCCGGGGGGAGATGTAGTAGCCCCCCTCCTCCAGGGAGCGGATCTTATAGTGCTTGACGATGTCCCCTTGGGCGGTGACGTCCTTCACAGACAGGGAGAAGGCCCCTGGAGTCAGCGGAGACACAGGCGTGAGATGCGAAGACAGGGTTAGGATTGGGGCTCCATTTCAGTGCTTTGAAAAAAGTCCCCCAATTCTGCTCTCCGTTGTCACCCTTTCTATCCCCCCAGAGTCCCCCAGACTCAGCCAGGGACCACAGGACCTTGTAGCGGGTAGGACAGTCCCCCGGCAATCACGTGGGCCCCCGCCTGGGCACCTGGTCACTCAGGGCCCCCTTTGCCATGGACCACTAGGAAACGTGGGGTCGTTGGAGGGTGGAAGAGCTTCGTGCCCTTTTCTGGCTACTGGGGGTGGCGCCTGTGCCCATAAGCAAAGAGCCTCACAGCCTCAGGCACCCACTGGGTGGCAGGGAGCACGGCGAGCTCCTTCCCAGGGGCCCTGTTGGAATTCCTGTGTTGCTTGTCGTGCACACATGTGTTTTGTCCCCTAGCTTCATGTCTCCCTGCAGACAGCTGGGAGCAGGTGTCCAGGGTTGGGAACAACTGAGGAGGTAAGAGTTTCCGGTTGAGAAACTCCTTTCCAGGAACTCGATGTTTTTACGACGTGCCTCTGCCCACCTCTCTGAGTTACTGTGGCCCCCTTCCATGCTGATGTGGGGGATGGGGATGCCGAAGCCCGGGAGTATTGCCGAGGCAGAGCAGACCTGGGCTGGGGTGCGGGGTTGTGGGGACCCCTAGGTCCGCACCCACCGGGGCAGTACCGCACGTCGCCGCCAGGGGGCGGGCTCGCTGCCGCTTTCCCTCTCGCTCGGTTTTCCGCGGTCTTGTCAGTCCTGGCTCCTTCCTCTCCTGTCTCAGAACCACCTGCCCATCTCCCCTGCTCCCCTCCCGCCCCGCTAGCCCACGTGCCTCTCCCACCACCTGCTCGAAGGTGCTGGGGCGCAGCGCACCTGGCCGCGCCCCGACCCCGCCCCAGCCCCAGCGCGGAGGCCACCCGCGTCCCCGCAAGGTGCCAGGCTAAGAATCCAGAGCTACGTCTGCCGCATTTCAGGAAATTCCTCACGGAGCCCGGCTTCCCATGCACCCTCCCAGCCTGGCGCTGCTCTGACGGCGCTGTCCTCCCCCGCAAAGGGAGCTGAGGGGCCTTCTCAGCAGCCCAGCCACAGGAGCCAGTCGTACAGTGCAGTCCTCGCTTCCCCTTCCTCCTCCAGTGTCACTGTCACCATCGTCTCTCCAGCTAAAGCTGGCCACAGGCTGTAGCAGGCCTGGGGCAGCTCCTGATGAGCAAGGCCTGGGACGGTCCTGTCACCCAGGCTTGTCACCCTGCTTGCCACGCTTCAGAGCTCCTGAGGGTTCTGAGCCTCTTACATGCCTGGCCCCCGACGTCCTGGGCTCGGGGCTTACTGCTGGTGTCAGGCAAGTCACCTCCTCTCTCAGGGGGCTCAGTTTCAGCGTCGGCCAAACCTGGGTGTGGCCTAGGGTCTCGCAGATGGAAAACGAGCGGCAAACGTGCGCCAGGGAGAAGCATAGCCAGGCTTGGAGCAGCACAATCGTCACAGCCCCGAGCTGGAACGACCCCGCGCCCACCAGCATCTGAACAGACCACTTGGTCACAGGACGTCCACACTCTGGTGCCGTGTAGCCACGGAGGTGAACAGAATATTGCCAAATTCAGCTACGTGAAATGCGTTCCCCCCAAATCCATGTGTTAAAGTCCCAAACCCCAGTGATTAATTAAGGTGATTAAGTTAAGTGAGATCATTAGGGTGAGAGCCAATCCAGTATGACCAGCACCCTTATAAGAAGAGAGGAGGACACAGACACCCGCAGAGGGACGCCCAGGCAAGGACACAGGGGGAAGACGCCGTCCGCAAGCCAAGGAGAGAGGCCTCGGGACAAACCATCCCTGCCGACTGCACTTCCAGCCCCCAGGGCCGTGAGATAATAAATGTCAATCGGTCGCGGTGCCTGGTTATGGCAGCCCAAGCAAGCTAACACAGCATCTCAGACGGTGCTGAGTGAACGGAGTTAGACACAAAAATACGACTAGTGTGATTCCATTTGTGCAAAGCTGAAAAACAGGCACAACGTGGCTGGTGACCCAGAGAGAGAAAGCAGGGAAGGATTTCCGTGCAAGTCGGGGCAGGAGTTACCTCTCAGCAGGTGGGGTTGGGTCAGGTGGGGGCCTAAGTGGAGGAGTGAGGGGCTCCTGGACGTCTGGAATGTTCCATCTCTGGAATGTTCCATCTCTTAGGTGCGGTTTCGCAGAGGTTTACTTATGATTACCTTACAGAATTCATAATTGCACATTCATAATTCATGCAAGCTTTATATGTGCTCTGTATTTTATAACGAAAAGAACATTGAGAAGGAAAGAAAGCCAAATGGTGGCGAAAGTGAGAAAACCCCAGGGCGAGGGGTGGCAGCAGTGTTTTACCCCAACAGCGGATTGCGATCTGTGAGTGTCTGGACTGGCCACGGCTCTCCCATTGTCCACAATCACCACTCCCTTCTACACCCTGCCAGGCCGCATCCCGCATGTGTGCTCCCTGCCAGCTCTGGCTCGGATTGTCTCTAAGCATTCCTTGGGCCCCCCAGTCCTCCGATTCCCAAGTGTGGCTGGTGACTGAGGGCTCGGGGTGACACCCCTCCTCTGCCCCACCAGCCTCCTGCAGACACAGCCAGCCTGGCGGTGGTGGGAGCCCTCCCTGCCTGATTCCCGTGCACTTGGTCATTTCCAGCCCTGGTGAAGAACTGACCTGTCCGTGGGGGCAGCCTCAAAGCCAACTCCTACACAGGGCTGAAGTTGGGGGGAGACCAGGCCTGGAAGCTCCCGGTTCTCCTGGCCAGCACCGTCCCCCTAGGACACAGCCGCTGAAGGGGAGTCCCCAGGCGAGCCGGGAAGGCGGGCGAGGCCACCCATGCTTACCTTTGCTGGTTTCACTCTCTCTGATGAGAAAGGAGCCGGCCTTGTTGACTGGGGCCAGAAGCTGCCTTTCCGTCTCCTTCCGGCTAATAGATCTAAAGAACCACCTGGAAATGGCAAAGGCAGGGAGCTCAGGAGTGCCGTGGCCCTGGGGATATTCTCACCCGAGCACCTCGCCCCGAGCTATCTCCGTCCGCAAGGAATAAGATGTCATCTCTGCTTCCAGGTCAGCCTCGAGCTGCTGCTCCTCTTGTGGTGACAGATTGAAAGCCCCTGTCCCTGCGTCCCTCTCCTGTCCCTCTTCCCACCCACTGCTGGACTGTTTCCTGGAATGAAACGGGATCATGATTCGGGTGACATTGTTAATTTTGCTTTGGAAAAATGCACCCGATCGCCCTCCCCGAAGCCCAGCCGGTCTCATGAGCCCACGCCGGCCCTCACGGTCCAGGCTCTGTGCTGGAGGAGCCTGCACCCCGGCCCTTCCCCCACCCAGGCATTGTTCGGTGTGGGACCCCCAGGGAGGAGGGGAGGAGGCGTCTTCCCTGCGGCTGTCCCTTCCGTGCTCCCGGGCAGAACCTGGCCTGCATCAGTGCTCTGGGCACCGTGTGAGCCGCGAGCAGAGTCTCCCGGGGACACATGGGTGATGAGGTGCGAGGGGTTAGAAGGTTGGGACCCTGCTCTCCTGTAAGCCGGCCCCGCACAAGACCCCCGCCCACCAGAGGCAGTAAAGGAGGGGTGGGTGGGCACGGTGCCCGCCCTGAGCTTACGAGGCCATCGGACACCCATCCAGGACACCGGACGGTGCCAGCCAGGGCACCCAGGAAGGGACGGCTCTCGTCCCAGCTGGGCAGAGTGACCCACTCAGCACCGCCCAGCAGCTTGCGCGCTGTCGGAGCTGGTAGGGAAGCCTCTCCCAGCAGGCCTGCCCCCCTGTCCCTCCCTGCTGGGTGCCCTGGACCCCCTTCGGGCCCCGCCCTGCACGGCTGGGAGCCGCCGGCGTCCACTTACTTTTCCACCTCCAGGCTCTCCACCCGGGCCACGAAGTTGCTGGGCACGTAGCCTTCTCTCCCCGTGACCAGCGACTTGGCCAGCCACCAGTCTCCGGTTCTGAGGGGGAGAAGCAAAGACAAAGACATGACCAGCAGCCCAGCCGCCCACACAGCCCGTCCCCCGAGGCAGAGGACACGCGGGGCAGAGGGTGGGGACGTGGCAGGTGCATCTGGGGTGCAGAGGCGCCCGCGTCCAGGGAAGGCCGGGGAGGAACGTGTGCAGGCCGAGGCTGTCCTCACTGGGCTCAAGCCCGTTTCAGAAGTTGGAGAACAAAGTCAGGCCCGCCGGCTCCACAGGACAGCCTGACGGCGGAGAGGACAGCAGACTCGGGGCCCCGGGAGGCAGCAACAGAGACGAGCTGAAGCTGGACTGGCCCGAATAGTCCCGTGCGAGATTGTGTTTCGAGAGGGAGACAAGGACGGACACCGCTGATGCGAGTGTAGGGCTCTCATGGGACAGCGGGGACAGACGAGGGAGAGGCCCACGTGTCAGGAGGGCTGCATGGAGGAGATGGCATTAGAGCTGGGTTTTGAAGGATGCACAGGAGGTCGTGAGTGGAAACCAACTTGTGAGGAAGACTGTGGAGAGGAAGACAGCAAGGTCAAGCTTAAGGAGATGCTGGGCTACGGGGCTGGGGCCAGGCCATGGGGATTTCTGGGGTCTGCTGCAGACCTGTGGTGAGTGTAGCACGGGAGGGGGACTTTGAAGCAGTCTGGTGGGGACAGGGGACGGCATCCCAGACACTCACCCCTTCAGGACCCGCAGCTTCTCCCCCTTCAGCATCTGCAGGTCCCGGTCGTTCGTGGCGGCATACTCGTACAGGGCCACCACGAAGTGCTCATCTGAAGGAGCAGGGCGATGGTGGGGCAGGAGCCATCTCTGGCTACCAAGGAGGGGACCTGGTGCAACTCCTGCTCACCGAGGCTGAAGGGGAAGCTCTCGCCAGGCAGACTGGCCGCCCGACCCGGGGCCGTGCCAGGACGGCTACCCACAGAGCCCACCCGTCCTCCCCCCTGGGTCCCACTCGGAAGCCCTAAGGCCCATACAGGGCTCCTGTGAGGAACTAGTGCCAGAGGACTGGGGACATCAGCTTCACGGAGGCAGCCATGGCTGCAGACTCGAGTCTGGGAGCCAGCGTTAGCGGATCCCTCGCCATCCGTGTTGTCCCTGTCCTCAGCTCTGAGGCTCCTTCCTCCTCTCCCCTCCCCTCTGTCCCTCCAGCCTCCACCCCAAGGAGGGTGGTCTTGGACCGTGGCAGCTGGTGCCTGGTGCCCCACCATGCTGTCCACTGGCAGCTCCCCTGAAGCCGCCCGGCCCTGGGACTTGGTGGGACGAGAGCTTAAGAGCTTGGTGCCGTCTTTCAAACGAGCGCTGCTAGTGGCCAGGGCTCTCCGCACAGCTCTGGGAGCCCAAGGACCCTCCTGGCAATGTCACCTGGAGGCAGTTTAGCTTTCCAGGGGGCAGATGACTCAGCTTTGTCCCTGATGAGGTTCCTGGGGCTAGCCACCTCCCCTCGGTGGGGACGAGGGGTCCCCTGCGGGTCTAAGCCTCCAGTGCTTGTGCTAAAGGCAGTCAGCTTATCTCCTTGCCCTGAGCTTCCTTTCTGGAGCTGTAACCCCCCCTGCCTGGAAGTGAAGGCTCCGCTGTCCCTGATGGAAATGAACGGTGACCCCGCAGGGTAAGGGACACCAGGTGAGGGCACTGACCCGGTTCCAGCACTTTGCTCATGAGTATGGCAGACTCAGGCTTTTTCAGGGCAGGAGTGTGACTGACTTACGGCCACCTCTTCCCCAGTCCTGGGCAGAGCCCGGCCTGCAAGCCGTGTGCTCCATGCACATCATGTGCGTGGATTAATAGTGGGGCCCTACCAGCCGGGCACACCTTCCCGGGGCCGTGTGGACGAGGGTGGTTAGGAAGCTTCCAGAAGCCAGCTCTCTCAGCCTGGGAGCCCCGAAGACTGAGCCCCCAACACACTCAGGCAGGCAGAGCTCATTCACCGGGGCACCCTCAGGCCTGGCCACCAGGACACAGTGGCATCTGGGGCCGAGGGAGGGGGCATGGGTGGTGAGAGGGTTGGTGGGGGGGTTCCCGAAAGTGGCTGGCCAGGTGGCAGACAGGACCCTGTCTTCTCTCCACCAGCCCTCGAGGGCCCTGCCCCGTTTCCTTAGGGAGGCCACCCCGACTGTCCCTGTTCCGAGACCACAGGGCCAGGAACTGGGAGAGGGCTATAGACCTCAGCTCCCCAAACCACGCCATTCCTACCTTCATCCGGGTGTTCTTCGGGGGGTGGAGGAGCGAGGTGGTTGAACATGACCTGGGGCAGAAACACTCTGAGTGAGCCCGCACCCTGCAGCTGGTCACCTGCGGGAACCTCCTCTGTGGGCTGCGCAGGTAAATGCTGTGTGTGCCCCCGCAGCTCCCTGGGGTGCAGCCCTGCCCTCAGACAACACCCAGGCCATCTGCCACTTTCGCCCTGACCCTGTGTGGGGCCACCCCAACTTTGGTGAGAGACAGTTGTGGAACAGGGGAGAAAACCCAGTTATCTGGGTTAGAATCCTTGCTCTACCGTTCAAAGATGACATTGCAAAAGGATATTTGTTGACAAAGAAAAATAGTTTAAAACTATGTTTCCCTAAAACTCAACCAATATATTGGTAGGTATGTACCCTGTAGAAAAACTTTTGCATATGTGTACCAGGAAACATGTACAAGAATGCTCTTAGCAAAATAATAATAATAATAATACATAAACAATTTGAAAAGGTAGCAATAACCCTTACAACCAATGAGAGAAAAATAGACAAGTTACAGAATGGCCGTGCAATGAAATTAATGAGCTATAGCTACGTGCATCAACATCGATAAATCTCACAAATATAATATTGAGCCAAACTCCAAGTCTCAGAAGAACACGTGCTGTGTGATTCAGTCAATTTAAAGCTCATAATGTGAGAAATGAAATGAAATTCTGCTCAGTGATGTAGACATATGTAGTGATATTAAAAAGCAAAGCTAAGGAATGATAGATAGATTTGGGGTACGGCGGCCGGGGTGAGGGGGACAAACAGCGGGGACGCAGGGGATTCCAAGGAGCAGGTCCCTTTCTGTCTCTGAAGACAGCAAGTGGCTGCACAGGTGAGCCCTGCACTGTTTCCTTTCCACCTGACACACGTGTTATAAATATCCTGTTTTATATTTCATATTTGTTGAATATAATGTTGAAGTAGCTTATTGAAAAATACTGTGTATAGTGTGGTTCTATTGGAAATAGGAACACGTGATATAAAGAATAAATTGAAAAAGGGTCTGGAGAAGAGCTGCCTCTGGTATCTCTTGGGTAGTGGGATTGTGAGTAATTTAAATTTCTTGTCCATAATTAATATATATTACATGACTTTTTTTTTGAGACAGAGTCTCACTCTGTTGCATGGGCTAGAGTGTCGTGGCATCAGCCTAGCTCACAGCAACCTCCAACTCCTGGGCTCAAGCGATCCTCCTGCCTCAGCCTCTCGAGTAGCTGGGACTACAGGCATGCGCCACCATGCCCGGCTAATTTTTTCTATATATTTTTAGTTGTCTAATTAATTTCTTTCTATTTTTAGTAGAGACGGGGTCTCGCTCTTGCTCAGGCTGGTTTCGAACTCCGGACCTTGAGCAATCCTCCCACCTCAGCCTCCCACAGTGCTAGGATTACAGGCATGAGCCACCGCGCCGGCCACATGACTTTTTTAAATCAAAAAAATCCAGGCTCCATTACTTATTAGTTTATAACTTTGGGGAAATTGCCTAATCTAAGACCAAGTTTGCCCATTTGCTCATGTATTCACTCAACAAACATCTGGTCGTTGTGTGTGCTGAGAGTCCTGCGTTAAATTGGGACTCGAATAGATAACACTGTCAAGGTCGTCTATGAAACGGGATTAGCAGTCACCCCACCCCAGCAGGTCCTTGCTAGAGTAAAGATATGACCGCTTGAACATGCCCCTGGCGGCAGACAGCGCAGGAGAGGGGGGCCAGGCGCGACTCCCAACTGCCCCAAACCAAAAGGGGGTTAGCAATCAGGAAGCAGTGGCACATGGGGTCACCTAAGTGCACCTTCGGAGGTGCAGCGGCTGTGGAAGGTGCTTCCTGCTTCGTGAGCACTCAGTGCTGGCAGGGAAACTCCCTAGCCATAAAGCCTTCTCCCTTCAAATTTCACTTTCTTCTTTCTTTGGAAACTTTTCTGCATTTAAATGCCCATGGGGCACAGCCTGAGCAACAGCGAGACCCCAGCTCTATTAAAAATAGAAAGAAATTAGCCGGACAACTAACAATATATAGAAAAAATCAGTGGCCTGTAGTCCCAGCTACTGTGGAGGCTGAGGCAGGAGGATGGCTTGAGCCCAGGAGTTGGAGGTTGCTGTGAGCTAGGCTGATGCCATGGCAATCTAGCCCAGGCAACAGAGTGAGACTCTGTCTCAAAAAAATAAAAAAATAAAAATGTCTGTGGGGCACCCTAGAAAACTTGGGGGGCTGCTGGGAGGTGAGGAGAGGGCCCTCCCAGTTCCGGACGCTCGTCCCGGGAGAGCAGGCTCCAGGGAATGCTGGCAGCAAGGCCGGGCCAGGGACGACTGTCTCCAGGAGCTTCTGGGGAGGGAGGGGGCAGCAGACCTAGCTAAAGCCCTGGCCCTTCCCGCAGCACACCCTCTCCCCAAGCTGAACTTTTTGACTTCTTTTGCTTTCAAGGCCACCCTTGAGAAATGAACACTGGCTAAGAATCACTGGGGGCGACCCACGCCTGGTCCTGTGCGAGTTACATCGCACTGCACGCTTGTCTGCACGTCACATATCCGTACATCCCTGTCAGGAAGGCACTTTTGCTACACCCATTTTACCCATGTGGAAACCGAGGCTCGGGGAAATTAAGCAACCTGCTGCCCGGCGGGCTGATCACTCACCAGGGGCGGAAGCGGCGGGGGCGTCTTGCCCTGGGCGTTGACCTTCAAGGGGCTCCATCGACCCTTGCCCTTCTCCTTGACCTGCTTTTTGCTGCTCACGAGTCCCATCCTGTTGGAGGCACAGGGCAGCAGGTGACGGATGAGATGGGGGGTCCTCGGTCCTCTGGACAGAGGAGCTCCCCCAACCCCTTCCGGGGGGCCAGTTAGAAAGCTAGGATGGAAAGAGGGAGTGAAGACCTCGCAGTCAGAGCATGGTTAGCAGAGGCTGGGAGAGCAAAGCTTGGGTCCATCCTTTCTCGGGGCCCAGAGAGGAGAACCGACTCCACCTGGGACTCGGAAATCGCCTGGCCGGTGGCAACTGCCAGAAACCGCCAGGGTGGGTCCCAGCCTCTGGGGCACGGGCCTGACCAGCGTGTCTGGTGGTCTGGGTTTGGTCTTCATTGAGCCGCTGGCCACGCCACTTGGGAAGTCACATTTCCTGACTGGATGCACGGGCGCCTTGCAAACGGGGGTTTGCTAGAGCACGTCTAAGGTTTCCTCCTCCAGCTCAGATTCTCGGGTGAGACGCTGCACGTTCAGAGCAGACGGATAGCACAGAAATCCAGGGCCAGCTGCGGCTTCCCAGAGTAACATCAGGAGTCTTCAGAGGTGAGAAAAGTATGATCACGTTTTCCTTGAGTGCAGACTCTCAGAATGTCAGAAGGGGGAGACCTCCGAGACCACGCCTTGGCCGCCCGCAGTCCAGGGGCTGTGAGCTGGGGTGGGTTGATGTGAAGGTGCAAGAGCTTGCTCACAGCCTCCACCCGCTGCACGCCGGCTCCGGAGTCCCGTCCGACTCAGGCCACACTCTTCCTCGCCCCCATCTGCTCACTCCCGAGAGTCAGACGTTCACAGTTCACAGAGAGGAAGGACCTGTGTCCCTGCTCTCATCTGAACGGTGCATTGTTAGTGGTGATTTTCCTTTGGATTTATGCACCATATTTCATCAATTCTAAGATGCACCTTTTTTTTTTTTTTCACATTTCAACATCTCTGAAACCAGGAGCTGTCTTCTAATTGATGCTGCTTTATAGCAGGCGTCCTCAAACTACGGCCCGCAGGCCACATGCGGGTGTTTTTGCCCATTTGTTTTTTTACTTCAAAATAAGATATGTGCATTGTGCATAGGAATTTGCTCATAGTTTTTTTTAAACTATAGTCCGGCCCTCCAGTGGTCTGAGGGACAGTGAACTGGGCCCCTGTTTAAAAAGTTTGAGGACCCCTGCTTTATAGTGTGATTAAGAGCATCATCTTTTTCTCTCTTTTAGTGAAACAGAAAAATAAACACTAGCCTTCCCAGAAGTGGTGTCTTAGATTCAATAAAACATGGTAACGCATTTTTTTACAGAGCTTCCAGAGTTAAAAGCACATTCCTCATATCAACTCTCCTCAAACCCACTTTGAAAAAAAAAAAAACCCAATATAATAATTTTGGATATAGCACAGAGAGCAACAGAAACAATAAATCCACAAGTATGTTTTTTTAGTATGCCTTCCACAGAGAACACATAATACTTTGCATTTTTAAAGAACAACATTTTTTATATTTAAGTAGTTTATGTGAGTTCAGATTAGCTTTGTCACTAAATGAACTACAGTGCCAAAGTTACAAGCAGCACTTCCGTCTTCAGAGATTTGGGGTTTCAGAAGTTTGGATAATGGGGTATGGGTTTGTATTAGGAATGGCTACTGATTTTTATGTAGGTGCCTACATAGTATCTATCAATGTGATCCTTTTTTTTGTTGATGTAATGAATTATGTTGGTAAATTTTCTGCTATTGAAACATCTTGTGTTCCTGGAATAAAAGCTATTTGGTTACAGTATCTTGGCCTTTTTGACACATGGGATGGATACTATTTGCTAATATCTTACTTCGAATGAGAGTCTATTCCCAAGTGAGATTTTCTCGCTCACATGCATTGGCATTACAGTGATGCTGGCTTCATAACATATACTGGGAGCTGTCTTCTTTCTATGGTCTTGAATTAATTTAATAACATTTGAGTTGTCTGTTCTTTAAAGGACGGATAGAACTCAGCTGTTCAGGCATCTGTTTCTATGATCCTTTTAAATAGTAGATCTTTAAATACATTTCCTATTTCTTCTACAGGAATTGTTTATTCCCATTTTTCCTTCTCCTTGTGCCATTTTGATGACATATAATTTACATGAGATTGTCGATTTCCTCTACATTTTCCAATTTGTTGCCATGAAGTTTTATGTGGTATTGTCTTGCAACTATTTTAACCTGTTCTCTTTCTCGATTGTGACTTCTTTCCTGTACCTACTATAAATTAGATGTGCTTTCAATTATAATTACAATTTTTTTTTTTTGAGACAGAGTCTCACTTTATTGCCCAGGCTAGAGTGAGTGCCGTGGCGTCAGCCTGGCTCACAGCAACCTCAATCTCCTGGGCTCAGCGATCCTCCTGCCTCAGCCTCCCGAGTAGCTGGGACTACAGGCATGCACCACCATGCCCGGCTAATTTTTTGTATATATATTTTTAGTTGGTCAATTAATTTCTTTTTATGTTTGGTAGAGACGGGGTCTCGCTCAGGCTGGTTTCGAACTCCTGACCTTGAGCGATCCGCCAGGCTCGGCCTCCCAAAGTGCTAGGATTACAGGCATGAGCCACCGCGCCCGGCCTATAATTACAATTTTTTTTTTTTTTTTTAAAGACGGGGTCTCGCTCTTGCTCAGGCTGGTTTTGAACTCCTGACCTTGAGCAATCCGCCCGCCTCGGCCTCCCAAGAGCTAGGATTACAGGCGTGAGCCACAGCGCCCGGCCTTAATTGCAATTTTTAATTGGATAAAATTACCTGTAGGTTTAATGACCAAATAAAGTTTTGACCTAGCTTTGAAATCATCAAAAAAGAAGACTATAATCAAGACAGCATGAACTTGGAATCGGAACAGACACTAATCAGAGCAGCACAGAATGAAATGCATGCGGACAGACTCTGGTGAGCGTGGACACCACATGCATATATGTGGCATTTAATAAATACATTTATATGTGGGAAGTGACTGCTGACCTTAAAGAAAATACAGTTGAACCTCTACCTCACATTGTATTTTAAAAATTGCAGGTGTACAAATGAAAAATACAAAAAAACAAAAAATGTATTAGAATAAATTTAGGAAACTGTACATATAACAGAGTTTGGCAACAGCTATCAACAAAGCTAGGGTAGCCAGAAGCTAAAAAAATATATATATATGCAAATTCATAAACATTAAAAGTATTATATGGTAAAAGAAACTATTCATGCAGTCAGTAGATAAGCAATAGACTTGGGAGAAAATTTGCAAAGTGTAAAGCAGATTAATGTCTATTTATGAAATATACAAAGCTCACAAAAATTGGCAAGAAATATAGGATAGCATACAATCCACTCAGCAGAAAAATGGATAAAGATTACAAAAAGAAAGTTAGCACAACACAAATCCAAATACCTAAATAAACATATGAAAAATATTAAAATTACATACTAGTTGGAAAATAAAAATTAAGGTAATAAAATATCAGATTATATTAACAAGATTGGCAAAAAGAAATAAAAGAAAGGATAATACCAATTGTTGATGGTAAAGCAAGGGAAACTTGTGTTTTCATACATTTTAGGCAGTATTTATTACATTAATAGTTATTGTTATTTCATTTGTTCTTCCTGCTCTGTTTCTAGGATGAAATCTCTGGGAGGTCTGGGATCTTTTACTCACTGTTGAATTCAAATTGCTGAAGCAATGCCTGGCATGGATTCATGCTTGACAAATATTTATCAAGCAAATAAAATATGAAATACTACTGAAAGAAAGCAATCTTCTAAATTCTTAGAGAAAGCAATCTTCTAACTTCTGTTAAAAAAAACACACATACTTTTTGATTTTCAGTCCCATTCTAGACTATCTCAGGGCAATAAACCATCATTATATAGAGATATATATACAATGATGGGATATGTGAGATATGAAAATGTTTGTTGTAGCAACAGTTGTAGCAATAAAAAAAAACCAAAAAATGAAAAAAAACCAAAGAGACCAAACCAAAAAACAATGTAACTGCTCACCAATTAAGAAATTATTAAATAAATCTCTATTCTAAAAATATTATGTAATTATTAAAACAAATGTGCTAGATCTTACCAGTAAAGCTAAGAGGAATATCTATAACATGCTGTTATAGGAGAAAACCAAGATACAAAGAGGTGCATACAACAATCCCATATTTGGAAACCCCGAAGAATGAAAAAATAACCCCCTGGGAGGCCTGTGCATGTGTTTGCACATCACATGGGGAGAAGTTGGGGAGGATGGACACAAAGCCATTTATTTTGGGTATTGTTGGGGGAAGGCAGAGATAGAAAACTGAGGCAGAAGGCCAAAATATTTAAAAAGCACATTTTAAAAACTTTGTGTGTGTGTGTGTGTGTGTGGGGGGGTGTTAACGCAAAGCAGAGCCCAAAAAAAGGTATTTCCTAAAATATTGTTTATCTCAGGTGATAGGACTTCATGTGACTTTGACCTTCTTACTTGTAATTTTATATATTCCTTGAGTTCTTTAACACTAAGCATGAGTTATTGGTACAAGCAGAAAAATAAAAAGAGAATGTGAAAGATTTGCCCAGCAACAGACAGGCCTGGGGCCTGGAGCCGCAGCCAGGGCCGTCCTGGGCCTCGGCCTTTCCTGACCTCTCCCGGCCTCCCCAGTTTGGCCACAGGCCAGCAGGCAGCAACTTCTAGAATGCTCCCTGGACTTGGACTCAAGCTCCTGCATCTGCCAAAGTGACCAGTAGACTGTTGTCTACTTTGGTCTGGCCAACCATGTGGCCACCAATTTTAAGCTTCCTGGTCAAACAATGTCTATTTAAACATCATGATTTAACATTGAAAAGACCTGACAGCAAGTAAAATTTCTAAAATTAAATGAGCCACTACTTACACTTCTTGCTCCTTGGACTCCTTAGCGGTGACTTTCCGTGGCTTTAATGACTACTTAGGGTCTCCACGGACGCCTTCACCCCGTGGCTGTGACTGGAGACCTGAGTGACTCAGGAGGCCGTGCGACGACTAGGGCTGCCACTGGGGCTCCGGCCGCACCCAAGCAGTTTCAGGTTGGGGGGAGCCAGGAAGTGCAAAAGTCCACGCAGAAGCAAAATGCGACACGTGTGGGCATGGGGGCTCCAGGTGGCTTTGCTGCACTGAGCAGACACTGCCCTCCTTTCCAGAGGGACAGTATGGGAGGAGGTGTGAGTCTGTGTGTGTGGGGGTGGGGAGAGAGGAAACAAAGAGAGAGAGGACTCATGTGTGCATGTGAGAGAACAAGCATGTGAACACACCCACGCGTGTGTGCTTGTACATGTGTGTGCCTGGAGATGTGTTTGTGTGCTTGCATGTGTGTGTTTGTACATGCATGTGTGTACATGCGTGGCGGAGCCTGCGTGTGCACTGTGTGTGTGTGTACGTATGAGCGTGTGCATGCCACAGGGGGAGTTAGCGGGAGGAGCAGAAGGTGGGAAGGAAGAGTTGTGGGTTCATTTGAAGCAGGTCAGACCCCTCTGCAGACGTTCGCTGGGGCAGGGAGGTTTGCCCAGGGGACACTCCCAGCCTGAAGCACAGTTTCAGACAGACGGGGTGGTGGAGGCAGCAACTACAAATGGAGAAACTAGAAACCTTCCTTTGCATTCGCCTGGCATGTCATGGTCAAAAGGTTCTTGGCAGATAAGGGTTTTTGGTATTTGTGATAGCAGCGACAGATCGGTCACAGTCATCCTCATTTCACAGCTGAAGGAGGAGAGGCGAGTGTCCGGCTAAGGGGGCGCTGAAGGAGGCAGGGCGGGAGCGGCGGGGTGGCCTGCCCCCAGTGCCGCGGAGCCTGCTGCCCAGCCCCGGCCTGGGGCGCCGCCTCCTTTGGCCGCGGATCCTGCAACAGCAGGGACGTCTCAGGAGCTTTGTGCTAAGACAAGGAAGCTAGTCACACACTGCATGATTCTGTCTGAAGAAAATTCTAGGCAAGGCCAGGCCATGGTAACAGGAGGCAAATAAGCAGTTGCCAGGGTGGGAGGTAGGGTAAGAGGTAGGACGGAAGGGGCCAAAGGAAACTGAAACGTTCTCCAGTTTGATTTGGGTGGAGAGTACACACATCTATACTGTTGTAAAAACTCATACTTCTAATTCAAATGGATGAGTTTTACGGGATGTTATTTACACCTCCTTAAAGATAATTTTTTAGGGCCGGGCGCGGTGGCTCACGCCTGTAATCCTAGCTCTCTGGGAGGCCGAGGCGGGCGGATTGCTCGAGGTCAGGGTTCAAAACAGCCTGAGCGAATCCGTCTCTACTATAAATAAAAGAAATTAATTGGCCAACCTAAATAATTATAAAAAATTAGCCTCGGCATGGTGGCAGCGTGCTGTAGTCCGAGTACTATGGGAGGCTGGGCAGGAGGATTGCTTGAGCCCAGGGGTTTGGGTTGCTGTGACTAGGCTGCCCATCGGCAACTCACTCCTAGCCTGGAGGCCAACAAAGTGAGCTCTGTCTCAAAAAAAAAAAAAAAAAAAAGATCAGGCAAACTATGAGAAACTTCTCAAAAGAGACAGATAATGGCCAAAACCATATGAAAAAATGTTCAACATCTCTAATATCAGGCAAATGCAATCAAACCACAATGAGTATCACTTAACTCGGTGAGAAATTGCCTTATCAAAATTCCAAAACAATGTGCGTGGGATACGGAGAGAGAGACACTCCTCACTGCAGGGGACTGCAAACCAGTTACCTCTGGAAAGCAATATGGAAGTACCTCAAACGATACAAGTAAGATCTACTCTTGATCCAGCAATTCCATACTGGGCATATACCCAGTCAAAAGTTTATGAAAAAGACACCTCACTTGAATGTCATGCAGCACACTTCCAGTTTGCAAAGCTATGGAACAACCCCAAGTGCATCAATTCATGAGCTGAGGGATATAAATGTGTATATGTATACCAGAGTACTACTCAGCTTTGAAACAACGGTGATATAGCAACTCTCTGTATATTCTGGATCAGTGGAACCTTCTACGAGTAAGTATCTCAAGAATGGAAAAACCAGCACACATGTCTCCCCAGCAGATGGTTGATTAAATCGGATCAACACCTAAGTGGAATATAGGAGTAACTCATCGGGTGTCGGAGGTGAGGGGAGGAGGATGGGTGTTACAAACAACGAGTAAGATGTACAAATTTGGGGATTGGCATGCTTGCAGCTGTCTAGGAGGGGGAAGGGGCATGGGCATATATTGTAACCTTACACTTGTACCCATATATGCTAAATAAAAATAAAAATAGCAAACCATAAAGAACATTTTGGGAACACTTGAACAAATTTGAATATCAAGTAATAAAAAATAATAATAACAATTACTGTCTGTAAAAAAAAAAAAGAAAGTGGGTGTCCCACCTGGGAAGTCTAAGCTGCGACAGGACTCACCGTCCAAAGAGCAACCGAGCCGGTGTCTCGCCTTGGCCACATTTGTGCTTTGTGGGCAAAGACTCCCCAGTGCTCACGCCAGCACACCTGGGAACTCGGAGAACTGGGGGCCTCTCTGCCTGATTCGCCCATCCGCCGGCTGCACGCCCTGCCCACCCGCTTCCCTCTCCCAACCTGGGTTTCCTCTACTGCGGGGCGAGCTCTGAGGTGCTGGCATCGCTGCAGGCGCTGATGGTGCCTCGCCGCCAGAGCAAGCCTGCTCAAATCTCGCTCTAATGACATTTCCTGAGGCTCGCCTGTCACCTGCCCCAGCGGGCACAGGGCGGGACGGCCCTCCACACTGCGGAGAAGGTGCTTCTCTGGCTTTCCAGGAGTCAGTCTCAGCTCAGACAGGCGACCCCTGACTCAGGTTCAAATGGTCAGGGCTTCGGGGAATCGGACCCCCGTGTAGCAGGGACAAGGGCTCTGCCTGCAGCACCGGGGCTGCACCGCCGGCAGGCAGGGGCTGACAGACCTGCCTTGGCCGGGAAGGCAGGAGGGTCTTCGGGAGCCGAAACAGTCCCCTGTCTTGCCGTGGGCTGGGCGGCCATCCCCTGTGCCCAGAAGGCGCTGCTCACTCCCACACACCTGAGAAAACTCGCAAATACCACCCAGAGCGCAGGCGCAGACGGGGAGGACGCCTTCAGCTGCCACGGCCGGAGGCCCTGGGAGCCCCGGAGCCTCTGGAGCATGCGGAGGCTTGGAGGGTAGGGTGGGAGCCCGGGACACTCACACGGGAAAAGGGCCAGAGGGAGCGGCAGGGAGAGCTCAGAGAAACAACTGGCAGCGTCCGTCACCCTCACCACTGCCACCCGGACTTCTCATACACGTCTCAGACTGAGAGTGGCCACGGCTGAGCTCCCCGACCTGCGGCTCAAGCCTTTCCCCATCCCTGTAGGTGGCAACTCTCTCCTGGGTCCCACAGACAACCGTCACCAATCTACGTTGGCTCTCCCGTCTACGCGGGGCCAAGGGAGGACCACGCCGCCCCCCTGCCTCGCCTGCGGCCAGCCGGGTCCCAGTCGCTTTTGCTCTCTCTGGGAGACTCGTGGCAGCTCCCACCTGGCCCCCACTCCCTGCCCTCCCCTCCTGAGGCCCGCCTCACTCACTGTACCATTCAAAATGTTGCATGGCGGTTTCTCAACAAATGAGATGTAGAATTACCCTAAGACCCAGCACTTTCGCTTCTGGGTGTACATACGTGTTGTGTTTTCTCAGTGTATGAAGACTTTTTATATATAACTATTATTATTTTATATATCAGTCTGTGGTAAATTTTGTATTTTCTCTCATTTAGCTTTTGCTTTCAGTTTTGTTTATGGCATGTACTATGCACACAGGCTCCATTTTTATCTAATCAGCATTATTGATCTTGGTCAACCTCCCTTTGTTACCTTGGGATGTTTTCATTCAGTGTTTAATGTAACAACTATTTCAAGTGTTTTATATCAGCTTTATGAATTTTTAAAAGCACGAACTATGCACAGCTAGTAATAATCAGACTTAATATTTTGTTACGCTTACTTCATTCTCTTTATTTTCTTCTCTTTATTTACAACAAAAAATCATACTTAGGTTTGTATCGTTTTCCCTTTCTTCAAAGTATCATTATCTTGAAGTTAGGTGGGTGTTAACACATTTGATTGTGCATATGATTAATACTCAACATATGTATGCTGTGTTATGTAGACTTTTACAAAAATGGTATCATAATGTAACATAACTTTTTGCAGCTTGCTTTCTGGCAAAAAAAATTTTTGTTTTGATTTGTTCATGTGATATGCAGGTCTATTTTTGTTGTTTGTCCTTTCATGAAAATAACTCATTTATTTATTATATTTTTATAAAGAATAGATTTACACTGACGAACAGGGCATGTGATCCTCATACGGCCCTGGATTTAGCAATTTCGTGATACGTGCAGCGGTCTGCGCCTCAGTGTTATGGCGGATCTAAAATGGTCTTTAAAGTGATTGACCATTTGTGCTCCCATACGGCAGTACCTGGGAGTTTACGCTCCCATTATTCTTGCAACCTGTATTATCGAGTTTTTTTTACATAGGGATGGTGATAAACTTTTTTTTTATGTTTGGCTTTGATATACTTTGGATGATTGGGGTACTATAGATTTTTCTGGATGGCCTATTCTATACTTTGACGTTTTAGAGAAATGTAGTTTTTAAAAAATGTAATGTTATAAAGACCTAATGACCTCGAGGTGCGACTGCGCCACGAACCTTCTGTATTATATTACACAGAGCTCGTATTTCTGGGGAGCCTTAATTAAGAAATATTACAATTGTGTATGAGTATGAATTTATTAAAGATGATAAGAAATGCTTACAAAAAGATATAGATGCCATGATTAAACCCTTCAGTGAGTGCACTTTATCATAATTTCATCCAAAAACATGTATTTCAATCTTCCAAGGGTTTTTGAGGATTAATGGTTTATTTTATGATAGAAAGCTCAAAGACGGCAAAATGTATGAGAAAAAACGAAAAAATAGTGAGTCCCTACGAAATCAACATTACTAAGCTCAGGATGAGTATAAATAAAAATTAGAACAGACAGGCAGACGAGACAGAGGCCGACAGGGGCTCACCGGGTGCAATGGACGCGGAGGGAATCACCAGGGATGGAATGAACATTCAATAACTGATGTGGAGACAACTGGTTTTGTGTGAATATACAATCGTACTCTTAATCCAATAATCCAACATAGCTCCATGATTAAAGTTAAATGTCAAAGACAAAATGAGAGTTTTAGAAAAAGTTGGAGATATCTTAGAATAAGATAAATGTTTATTGAATTGACAATGGTATTATAAATTTTAAAGTAATTCTTTT